ATTATTTCCAATGTTTATTCTTGGAGTCAGTTCTCAGAAGTGGAATTGCTAATCAGAGATTATGCACATTTTTGAGGGTTTTGATACATTTCATCTAACTTTCATGCAGAAAAACTCCACCCCCAGAGGTGAAAGAGAATATTGTTTCCGGAGCCTTGCCAGCAGTGTACACTATCCTTGTTTTTATCCTGGCCCAACTGACAGGCAAAAAATTAGATCTTGTTTGGATTTGCATTTCTTTGATACCTAGTGAGGTTCTGCACTTTTTTTCATATATAAATTCGTCATTTATTTATTTTGGATACATAAAAATATTGTTCATATCCTTTCCCATTTTTCAATTGGGGTGTTCATCTTTTTCTTACTGATTTGGAAGATATTTTTGTATGTGCCATGTTGGAGTTTTCCTCCCACTTTACTATTTGTCTTTTAGCTTTTTTTCATGGTGTTTGGCAAACAGAAATTTTTTTGTTTTTTGGGTTTTTTAAATACAGTTTATTTATTTATGCTTTTTTTTTTTTCTGGGGAAGACTCGCCCAGAGCTAATATCTGTTGCCAATCTTCCTCTTTTTGCTTGGGGAAGATGCACCCTGAGCTAACATTTGTTGCCAATCTTCCTCTACTTTGTATGTGGGATGCCACCACAGCATGGCCGCTGCCGAGTTGTGTAGGTCCATGCCCGGGAACAGAACCCTGAGCCACTGAAGCATAATGTGCCAAACTTAACCACTAGGCCACGGGGCTGGCCCCAAACACAAGTTTTAATTGTTATATTTAATTATATGAGTCCTGCTCTCCTGTTCACAAGTAATGATGGTGACCAGGAATGAATATCCGTCCCAGCCTGGGCCAATCACATTCCCTCCTGAAAATCAGGAATTATAGTAAAAGATAATCAGTTGGTTGCTATATGTGAGTAAATTTAGGGGCGGGTAAAGGTCAGGAGATGCGCGATGCCTCTTCTTGCACTGGATTAAAAAGGAGCAAAAGAATGGTAAATAGTCCCTGCCTCCCCTATCTCCACCCTGGTCCCACTCCCCAGGACCTTCCTCGCCCAGTGCCCCATGATCCAGTCTTTAAAGGGTTAATGTTTGCTCCACCAGAGCCTCCAGAACATGCTTTACCTTTCAGGTCATAGGCCTCAGTTCTGATTACGTGGTAACTGTGCCATTCCAGTTTTTCAATATTTTGAGGATCACCCCTGCCTGATTCCAAACATTGCTAGAACTCTTGCTGCACCCTCCAGCTGAGGCATCCTTCCTTTGTTGTGGGATGACACAGGCCAAGATGACCCCAGGTTAGGACACAAGTTAGATCTGAGATTCCATTTTACCATCTGCAGTCACCAAACCACTTAGAGGTGTGGTTAGTATTAAATCCCAGAGCAATGAGAGGCTAGTGGCTTCATTTAGGCCATAACCATACAATCTCTTTCACTTTTGTCCCCTCCTCTCCTGCCCTGCTACCCTGCCTCAGACCTGGTTCAGATTCTCCTCTCACCCCATCTGAGCATTCCCGCCTTCAGACTCCTTTTCAATGGAACTCTCATAGGGCTCCCAGTCCAACTATGCTGAGTGCCTGGATGAGTAACCCAGACCATGCCATGGTGGAGGAAAGACACACCTCATCATCCAGTACCTCTTGGCTCAGATTCTTGCCGCTTCACTAGCTGTGTGATCTCAGACAAATTATGTAATTCCAAAACCAGGGTTTCCTTTTATTTGAAATAAGGATATTATTCTCATCATATCAGGTCCTGACCTCCTGTAATACACACTCTACTCACTGTGTGTTGTTTCTCTTCTCTGCTGGCCTGCAGTCTCTGTGGAGCAGGGACCTTGTTCAATTAATCTCTCCATCGGTGTCTCGCCTGGTTCTTGGTTGACAGGAGGCCCTTGGGAAATAAATTCTTGCAGAGGTGAACTGAATCAAGTTCCAAACACCAAAATGGTGAAAATGCCATCAATCCAGATATTTTCACCTCGGTGGATTATAAACTGAATTGATTTCCTCCTTAGATGAAAGTCAGTAGCCCTGGAATTTTTTTACACAATCCCAACAGTTTCTGTAAAACACTTAATGACTTTTATTCTATACAACTAGATACTGTGGACAAGAAATCCCAGCACTTCTGCACCTTAACTTGGCAGCTGGCAAAATGGATTACCAGGGTGACCCCTCCCAGAAGAGCACATGATCGACCACAGCTGTGCATGTTTTTTAGCATGACTGCACCAGGACACGGCTCCAAGCCACTGGGTGGAGCAATGCGCCCTGGGGAGAAAGCTTATGACATTTCCCCTATGATTTCAGAAAAGAAAAGAAAAGAAAAAATCCTCTTTCTCTTATGAGTTGTTTCTGCTCACTGTCCACAGAAAACGCTTGTATATAGATACATGCACGCATATGTAGAACATCAGCCACCACTCCAGGACAGAGAATTTAAACAGCAGTGGTCCTAAGAGCGAAGGTGAGGCAGACATTGTCAGCTAACTGCCTACTCGACATCCACTTCCTCTTCTCCCTTGTTAACAGAGCCCAGCGTTATTTGGGGTGACAATGTATGGAGCTGGAAGGCTGTTTCAGCCTCCCTTGGAGGGCTGGGTTCCAGCCAATGGAATGTAAACAGCAGTGCTCCATGGCACGTCCAAGAAGGCTGCTTACAGGAAGCTGACTCCATTGAAAGGTATGCTCCCTTTGGCCTTCCTCCCTTCTTTCTTCCTCTGGATGAAAGTCACCTTGATGGCTGGAGCTCCAGTAGCCATCTCGGAACTTGTGGTGAGCTTGAGGATGGAAGCCATAGGCCAGTGTGATGGAGCAGGATGAGAAAGAGGCTAGGTGCCAGATGACTGGGGAGCCACAATATCAGCCCTAGATGCTCAGTTTCCATAAAAGAAAAATCAGACAATAACAACAAAGCCCTCTGTCTTGTTTAAACCACTTTTTAAAAAATTCCATTTTCTGGGCTGGCCCCGTGGCTTAGCGGCTAAGTGCATGCGCTCCGCCTCTGGCAGCCCGGGTTCGGATCCCGGGCGCGCACCGACGCACGGCTTCTCCAGCCATGCTGAGGCCGTGTCCCACGTACAGCAACTAGAAGGATGTGCAACTATGACATACAACTATCTACTGGGGCTTCGCGGGGGGAAAAAAAAAGGAGGAGGATTGGCAATAGATGTTAGCTCAGAGCTGGTCTTCCTCAGCAAATAATGAGGAGGATTAGCACGGATGTTAGCTCAGGGCTGATCTTCCTCACAAGAAAGTAAATAAATAAATAAAACTGTTAAAAAAAATCCATTTTCTGTTATATGCAGCTTATTAATCCTATCCGAAAAGGTGTATTAGTGTGCTAGGACTGCCGTAAAAAAGTACCACAGACTATGTGGCTTAAACAACAGAAATTTATTTTCTCATAGCTCTGGAGGCTAGAAGTCCCAGATGAAGGTGTCAGCAAGGTTGGTTTCTTCTGAGATCTCTCCCCCTGGCTTGCAGACTGCCATCTTTCCCTGTGTCTTCACATGGTCTCCTCCCAAACATGATTATGTCCAAATTTCCAGTTCTAATAAGGACATCAGTCCTATTGGATTACAGCCCACCCTAATGACTTCATTTTAACTTAGCTCTTTAAAGACCTTACCTCCAAATACAGTCACATTCTGAGGGGCTGGGGAGTAGGACTTCAACATATGAAATTTTGGGGGATACAATTCAGCCCACAACATGAGGCATGAATAAAGAGAGATATCATGGCTCTATTTTTTTTGTAATAGGGGAAAAATTGGTAATAAAGGCCCACCAAAAGAGTAATAAGGAGCGGCCGGTCCAGTGGTGCTGTGGTTAAGTGTGCGTGCTCCACTTCAGCAGCCTGGGGTTCGCATGTTTGGATCCGGGGCGTGCACCGATGCACCGTTTGTCAAGCCATGCTGTGGTGGCGTCCCATATAAAGTAGAGGAAGAGGGGCATGGGTGTTAGCCCAGGGCCAATCTTCCTTGGCAGAAAGAGGAGACGTTAGCTCAGGACTGATCTTTCTCAAAAAAAAAAAGAAAGAAAAACAGTAATAAGGAAATAAACTATTTGTACAGTATGTTGCCATAAACACACATATAAATGCAACAAAACCATTTCTAGAGACATTTGATGTTTGTAAATGCACAGAAAAATGTATACGGTACGCAACAAACTGGTAACTGTGGTGGGTGTGGAGTAGAATTGTGGGGTAGAGTCAAAGTCTGGAACTTTGTATAATGTTCAAACATTTTACAGCTGCAGTGAGTGATTCATGTCTTTCTTATGTAATTAAAAATGTAAAAGAAAGCAGATCAGCCATTTAGAACTTGTGGAGTTTTAAAGCGTCTCTAGCCAGAATCTTTTTAAGTAAGAAAACAAAAGATAGAATGATTCAACCTTGAAAAGGATTAGTCAGAGCCTACAGTATGAGGTTAAAATCAGAAGAAATACTGAAGCGCTTTTAAAAACGAAAAGTAATGACTTTTTTAACAAGCTTTCCGAGTTGGAGCGATGACAGCGGCATGGAAGCCGGCGAACTGAACCTCCGAGCCCAGCAGGAAGCCGCGGGCCAGACGCCCCGCCCTCCTCTCCCCGGCCACTCTCAGGGACCGCGGAGACCCGGGGACACTCCGAACCGGCGGCCACCGAACTTCCAGCTCCACTCCATCCCACGGCAGAGAGAGAAACTGAGGCCCCGGAGGATTTGAGGGTTCCTGGCCGCGTGGGAACCCGTGACCCGGCCCGCGCGTCAGAGAACGGAAGGCCGGCCTCGGGCGGGAAGTGAACCCGAGGCCTCGGTGCGGCCAGCCAGGGCAGAGAGGCTCAGCGCGGCCGCGGGGCGGAGCCGCGGGGCGGGGCGGGGCCAACATGGCGGAGAGGCGGGGCTCCCGGGGGCGGGGGCTGGAGGAACTAGGACGGGGCGGGGCCTGGTAGGCTAGCGCGGGCCGGGGGCGGAGCTAGAGGCGGCAGGGGCGGGGCTAGAGAGTCAGCGGGGGCGGGGCCCGACGCGCACACGGCTGGTGTGCGCGGCGGCACGGCGCGGCGAAGATGGCGGCGTCCGGCTGGGCGCGCGCTGCCGTGGTCCTCCTCTGTGCCTCGGACCTGCTGCTGCAGCTGCCACCGCCTCGGGTCTGCGCGGCGGAGAGCCCGGCCGCGACGCCCGGCGAGGCCAGCCTGTCTCCCCGGAAGAAGAAGAAGGACATCCGCGACTACAACGACGCGGACATGGCGCGTCTCCTGGAGCAGTGGGAGGTCCGCGGCGCGCTCCCCCGGCTCTGCTCCGTCCCGTCTCCAACCCCGCTGACCTCTCACCCCGACAGCTAACCTCTCTCCTCTTGCCGTGCGTCCCTGCTGACGCCCTCGAGCCCCCGCTGACCCTCGGTGCCTCCTCCGACCCCCGCCCCGGGCCTCTCCCGGGCCGCCCGCATCCCGGGTCAGCCCTCGCTCTTCAGCCCTGCTGTGCGTGCCCCGCGGTCGGTGTGCGGTGCGTGTGGGGCGGGAGACCTTCCCCTCCGCTCCTGCAGGACGGGGCGAGGGGCGGGCGAGGCCCCCTTTCAGGAGGCGCCTCGCAGCGTTGGTAGTTCTGCCGTCCTCTAAACCCGTGGGATTTCAGACTCCCCGTTTTGGTATATTTCCCTGCTGAGAGTTTTGGAGTTTTGTGGGTGGATTTACTTTGGGGGGTGGGTGGGCGCCGCAAAGGCTGATAGCTCTCTGTCGCGGAATTCACACTTTTCATATGAAGGAGCAATAACTTGTTTTTCTGAGAGTGAGTTTTTTGGTTTGTTACTTGAATGCACTGCAGCGTATAATTAGAGGGTGCGTATACAAGGTGTTTAGATAAAGTTCACTAACCAAAACCACGTTGCTGCCTGCCTTCCTTCCATAGCGGGTTGAGCTGTCCTGGTTAATTGGCACGGCTGGTGGAGTAGAGTCGGAAACATGCGTTCTCCCCACTGTGTAACCTTGGGCAAGTCCTGTCTCTTCTCTAGGCCTCGGGTTTCTTATCTGCAAAGTGAGGGCATTTTACTGGATGATTCCATCCGACACTGTTTTATCATTTTGTGGCAGTCTCTGTGCGTGCCTGTCTGAGGAGGCTTTCAGACATGAGTTTGAGTGCTATCTGCTGCGTTTGACTGGAAGAAAGTGGACGTGTGTTTTCGCGTTTATCTGCTGCTGAAGGAAAGGTGGGGGCGGGTTTGAGTGTGCAGACCGCTGATGAGGAGGGAACTTGCAGCAGTTCCTTCCCCGTTCACCATCGCCGTTGAGACCTCCCGATTTACTTCTGGACTCCAGCAAATGTTCATTTCATCTGCTCCAGTAAGAACACCTCATGAGGAACCTTTCCTGGAGATACTCAGACCTTCAGCCAGAGTGCTGCAGAGATGAACAAGGGGTCCACTCATCGGGGACAGTAGATGATGATAAAAATAACCATAATGCAACGTAGAAACTGCTGAGCCCTATAAAAGAAAGTGCTGTGCCAATCTCAGAGGGTTTCAGGGAGGAAATGGCATTTTAGGCCAAGGAAAGTGTGGGAGAAGGACATTACTGATGGAGCAGCCTGAGCTGAGGGTGGAATGTGTGGGAACTGGGAAGAATGGTGCAAATGTTGAAAGCCTGGGCTGTGGAGTTAGACTGCCTGGGTCAAACCACTGAAATGTGAATGTGGGCTCGTAAGGAAGCTCTCTCTGCCTAGTTTCCTTGTCTGCAAAACAGAGGTGTTAGTAGTACCCACCTCAAGTAGTTCTAAGGATTCACTGAGAAAACATGGAAAGAACTTAGCCTGGTGCAATCCAGTCATTAGCTATGCTGAAATAAATGATTTCGGTGGCTGGAGCAGACTGCGTCTGAAGCACAGTAGTGGGGAGCAGGTCATGCTAGGCTTTGAGTGCTATGAGCTTTGAACTCTATTTAGAAGGAAACATGCAATCTATAATGAGTTTGAAAAGTTGTGTTACCTAAACATTACAATACCGGAATGTTTATATTTAATCGTCCATAACTTCATCCCAAAACGTGTTCACTCTTGTGTGTGCCCTTCCATTTGCAGACGTAATTTTTGCAGCTCAAAGCAGCATCGATGGAATTTTCTGCTGTTCCTTTTTTCATTTGAGATATATTAAGCATTTCCCCAAGTTGCTACATAGTCTTCATAATATTTTTAAAAGACTTCAGAATATGCCCTAGAGTAGATGTTTTAGTTATTGAAGGTTTTTGAATAGTGGAATATCATGATCAGGGCTAAACTTCAGAAAAATTATTTGCTCAGCAATGTTTAGGATGAATGGGCAGGGAGAGAATCTGAAGGCAGAGATAACTTAGTATTTATTGAGTGTTCATTAGGTAACAGGACTGTTCTAAGCACATTATCTCATTTAATCCTCTTACCACATTGATGAGGGAGGTTCTTATCCCTATTTTCTAAATGATGACATTGAGGCCCAGAGAGGTTAAGTAACTTGCCCAAGGTCGCACAGCACATTAGCTGAATTTCAAATTAAGTCACTTGATTTTAAAGCCTGTTCTTTTAACTATTTTACTACACTGCTGTGTGCTTTGGTGAACAGAAGTGCAAATGAGGAGGACCTAGATTAAGTTAGAAGCTGTGGGAATGGAGTAGAAGGGAGAAATGTGAGAGATTTTACACTCTTAACAGGACTTGGTGGTTGATTGTGTGACCAGAAAGATGACAGCATAATGTAGTCAAAAGACAGAGGTTTCAGACCTAGCTCTACCGCTAGGTAACTGTGGTCCTCACTTTCCTTGTCCGTAAAGCCGGAGAACATCCCACTTTGCAGGGTGTCATGCAGACAAAGGAACTGATGTTTGCAGACTCTCTGCGAATGTGAGCGTCCTTCCCTAGGAGCAGTGATTTCTCTGTGGGAGTGCATCCGTGTCTGTGGTGCTTTTTGTGGGAAGCAGTTCTTCCCCCAGTGGCGATCCCTGAATCCACCCCCCATTCCTTCCCGATAGTGTGGGCACCAGAGCTTCAGCGAGAGGCCTGCCTCCGGTGTGGAGTAGGGAGCAAAGGGGAGGACTCCTTCCACTGTGGTAGAACTGATGCTGAGTCCCCAGTGGTATAGATAAACCAAATTTCATTTCTTTCATTTTACATCACGGTAACAGGTGCAATGGGAAGGCGCGGGTGAGGGGATTCAGAGCCAGAAATGTGGGTCTGCTTTTCATTGCCACCTCTCCTAGCATGTGACCTTGAATAAGTTATTTATTTTATCTGAGCCTCATCATATATTCAGTGGAGACCTTGTAGGGTTGGCCTGAAGGTTGGAAATATAAAATAGAAGGTCCCTGGGATATAGTATCTACTCAGTAGATGGTAGCTGGTGTTGTTATCAGGGACAAATGGGAGGAAGGAAAGGATTTGCAGAGAAGGGGAGTTCATTGAGTTTGACAGCAATGGAGAAGTGGGGAAGCCATCCAAAAATGCCAGACTGGCCTGGAGGCAGGGCTGGGCCTGGGGTCTGGGGAGTGCCTCACTTGCTCACGCCATCCCAGCCCTGCCTGGGGCTGCAGATTGACTGCTTCCAGCATAGAGAAAGTGATGAGAGCAGGTAAGGTTACCCAGGGAGGCACTGGGACTGTCAAGGGTAGTACGGAGCATTTCCCTGCACCTAGGGCACGATGTTTCAGTTTTTTTTTTTTTTTCCTGCAACTGTAACACAAAGACGTATAAAATGGAAACTAAAGTTTCTTGAAACAGTCCTTCCCCTGGTTGAATGCATTACTAGACTTCTGGTTATTTAATTATATTTTCATTAAAAAAGAAATGCTGCTTGTGACCTACTGAGGTAATTTCATGGCCGTTAGTGAAATCAGTTTGAAAAGTACAAATATCCTAGGTTACTAAACCAACTGGAAGTCTTGAAGTGTTTAAAGAGAGCATAATGAATGTTGTGGACAAGTAGGAAGGAATGAAGACAGAAACAGATTGTGACTTTGGCAACCAGGAGCTCCTATGTGACTTTGAGAGTGTGATCTCCATGGTTGGTTGGAGGCAGATTACAGGGGGCCAACAGGTCCTGAGTGTCTGCTGCTTACCTGTGTGTCAGTCAACCCCCCAAACAACCCTACGACGGAGGTACTGTTATTCCCCTCTCTTCCACTGTAGGTGAAGAAAGTGATTTTCAAACTTGTCCAAGGCCACAGGGCTAAAGGGTGGAGCCTGGAGCTGAACCCGAGCCCTCTGATGGCAGCACAGGCCACTGTCTACCGCCATCAACTCTTAAAGCAAAGAGAGGAGGAAACGGGGCAGCTGAGATGGTGGCTGAGTTGAGGAGAAGGCTGGTGTGTTGTGTGTGGAGATCACCAGTTGTGCCTTTTCTTGCACGGGTGAGGGGCAGGCCTAGAGGAGTGAGGAGTCTTCCCGCAGTCCCGAGGGCAGTCGGGTAGAGCTGAAGCCAGAGCCTAGATCAGCTTCACCTGCAACCACTGCTGCAGGATTTTTTTGTTCTCATCTTCCATTAAAAATATGTTAATTCAGGGCCGGCCCCGTGGTTTAGCGGTTAAGTGCGTGCGCTCCGCTACAGGTGGCCCGGGTTCGGATCCCGGGCGCGCACCAACGCACCGCTTCTCCGGCCATGCTGAGGCCGCGTCCCACATACAGCAACTAGAAGGATGTGCAGCTATGATGTACAACTATCTGCTGGGGCTCTGGGGGAAAAATAAATAAATAAAATTATAAAAAATATATATATATTTTAATTCAATACATTAGTGTTGGTGTCTTAAGTCTCAGCCCTTCAATGATTTGTCAAGAGGACCAAGTAAGAGTGATATAGGGGTTTTTGTTTTATTTTAGGGTTTTTTTAATAACAGCTTTATCAAGATATAATTCACATGCCATATGATTCACCCAAATGTACAGTGTACATTTCAGTGGTTCTTAGTATATTTGAGTCGAGTTGTGCAACCATCACCACAGTCAATTCTAGAACATTTTCATCACCCCAAAAAGGAACTCTATGGTCTCCATGCCCCCTCCTCCATTCCTCCCCCCTCTCCACCTGCCCCAGGCAACCACTCACCTACTTTCTATCTGTAGATTTGTTTCTTCTGGACATTTTGTATTAATGGACACATACAGTGTGTGGTCCTTTGTGTCTGGCTTCTTTCACTCACCTTAATGTTTTCAAATATCGTCCATATGGGAGCCTCTATCAGTACTCCATTTCTTTTTGTTGCTGGAATTAGCCTTTTCTCCACGGAACACTGGTTCTTTTAAGTACTTTTATCCATCTATCTATTTATCTTCTATTTATTAGTTGGTATTCTACTGTTAGTAATTTATTCATTCATTTATATCAATATGGACTCAGTGGTTTATATTTTATTTTGGGGGTTATAAGTAATTCTGTCATTTATTTTCATCTTCAGAGTATTGCCTATTAGGCCCCTGAGCCCTGCATCACGTCGGCTTCTCTGTCCCTTTGACACTTCCCCTCATTCTTTGAGCACTTTCTTACTCTCTGATGCAAAAAGATGTTCCAGGCTATCTTCTGTTTTCCTTGCTGGAATTAACCTTTTCTCCAAGATACCTTAATTCTTATAAATATTTTTTATCTATGTATCTATCTAAAAATCATGAGTTCCTTCTGATGCCTCCAGTTGCAGCCTCATACCACAGGGTACATTCTTCCTCCTTCCGTATTTCTGAGTTCCTTTCCAAAAGTGAAGAACCCAGTTCTCATTATCCTCATATATTTACTCCTTTACTCAAGCCTAGAGTTCACAGAAGGTAGTTTCAGAATTGCTATTTCATACCGCTGCAGAAACCAAACCTACAACTCGATTGAATATTTGGTTACAGTTCTTACTTTTTAGGTCAAATAGGTGTACACGAAATGCAGATTTTAAGTATCCAGTGCCGTGAGTCTTGACAAATGGGTACATCTATGGTATCCACACCCCTGTCAAAACATAGAGCATTTCCATCACCCCAGAAAGTTCCCCCGTGTGCAGCCTCAGTCAGTCTCCCTCACACACCCCTGCCAGGGGCAGCTCTTGCTCCGCTTGCTGTCATTCCAGATTAGTTTTGCCTATTCTTGAACTTAAGTAAATGAGATTGTACATCTGATTTTGTGCTTGGCTTCTGTCAATCAATATGATAGTTTCGAGATTTGTTGCATGTGTCAGTATTTATTATTCTTCATTGCTGTGTAGTATGTCATTGTATGAGCAAACTGGAATGTGGCCATTTTTACAGTCTCTCAGAATTGGTAGATGCTTTGAGAGTGAAAAAGCCTGTAGAAACTCATCACATGGGGACTCTGACTGGTGACCTGGAGTGACGGGTAGTAGGCAACTGCCTGAAACTGAGACTTTGCTTGAAAGTCCAGGAGAAGAGGAACACTCCCTGGGTTTTCCCTTTTCTGTTATAACTTAGGTCATAACTTGCACCTGATGTGATAGGCAGGTGTTTTTGCCCGTGCCGGTTGAAAAGCACATTTCTGATGACAGGTTGAATGCTTTTTCCCCCGTCCTGATAGAAAGACGATGACATAGAAGAAGGAGATCTCCCAGAGCACAAAAGACCCTCCGCACCGATCGACTTCTCCCAGATAGACCCGGGCAAGCCGGAGAGCATACTGAAAATGACGAAGAAAGGGAAGACGCTCATGATGTTCGTCACGGTGTCAGGAAGCCCCACTGAGAAGGAGACGGAGGAGATCACCAGTCTCTGGCAGGGCAGCCTTTTCAACGCCAACTACGACGTGCAGAGGTAAAGCGCCCACGTGTGTGGAGAGCACCGTGTGGGTGTGGGGCCTGTTCCTGGGGCGGTAGAGCAGGTGCCCTTTCTGGCAGTACTGACGGCCCTGGACTCGCCTCTCTAGTGTTTCTTCTCGTACATTTATTTAGTTATCTAATTGTTTTTCTTTAAAGAAGAGCATTCATTATTGGTCAAAGCCAGTAAGTTGTGTTTTTTTTAAAACGTCTCATTTGATCCTGAAGGTTTACGTATCTTTGTGTCTTTAACTTGTATTTTATCTGAGTAAACAGTGGTGGGGGCAGATTCATTGTGGTTTGACAGTGTGCTTCCTTTAGAAGTCTCCCTGGAGGATGCCTTTGTGTGCACTGTGTTTAGAGTGCTCAAGATAACTAATTTAAGGTGAAGAGGTCTGGTTTTCACAGCTCAGTTTGATCCTGAGGTGCAATTTTAAGGAATTTCCTTTTTCCTCCTCAATAATAGTTCTGAAATTCAGGGTCTTCAAATGTCTTAGCTTAGGAAATATGAAAGCAATGAAAAGAAGTGGAGGAATACTAGGAGATGCAGAATGCTGTTCCTTAGCTTAAGTGGACATTCGAGGGAACGAATAAGTGTTTTGGTAATGACTGGCCCAGAGCTGCCACTGGTCTCTGGAGGGCTGGGGCCAGTAACCTGAAGGTGGAAGTGTGGGGGTAGCCCCTCAGCAATGGAGCGATCATAGCCCACTGGCCACACTGGTGGCCCACCCAGCCCCATCCCATTCCTCTTTGCTCCTGGGGACCTGTTGAGTGTGGGCATACTTGGGCTACTTGCTGTTAACCTCCAGGGTCAGCATTTCTGTCCAGTAGCTGGGTGTCCTCTCGAGCCCTTCCTGGGTCTCTTTTCACGACTCCATCTAAACCAGTGGTTTTCAGCCTTTATCAGCAGAAGCCTTTTGTCAAATGAAACTCACTGGGCAGCTCAGAATGTAAACAAGACTCATCTGGCAGCCTCCCCCCTGTGTCTACCACAGCCACCCCTGAGCGGTGTCTGCAGCACCCTGAGAGCTCTGCCTAATTCTGACTCTCAACAGGAGCATCCCCTTGTACCCTAAAGGGTCATCTGGGTCTGTTTCTATTTAGATCTTAGCTGAGGTATTAAATAATTCAGCCAGCTGGTATTTTCAAACATCAAGTGTCAATAGCTACTAGGCTTTGGAATATAGGATTTTTTGTTCTGTATTCATGTAGAATTTGAAAGGAACTGTTTTTCTTGGTTAAGAGCCATAGAATCGCTCTGAGCCCTTAGTACTTTACTAGTGTGTGCTGACTGTAAGGTCGCGTCTGTGCAGGTTCATCGTGGGCTCAGACCGTGCCATCTTCATGCTGCGAGATGGGAGCTACGCCTGGGAGATCAAGGATTTTCTGGTCAGTCAGGACAGGTGTGCTGATGTAACTCTGGAGGGACAGGTGTACCCGGGCAAAGGAGGAGGAAGCAAAGAGAAAAATAAAACCAAGCAAGAGAAGGGCAAAAAGAAGAAGGAGGGAGACCCGAAATCTCGGGCTCCAAAGGAAGACAATCGAGCTAGGAATAAAAGAGAAGACCTGTAATGGGGCAGCCCTGCGCTTTGCGGAGGATCACACGGGACAGAGCACGGCCAGGGCTCTCAGGGATGGGGGTGGACGTGGAACTGCACACTGGATGAGATTCTCGTTTCTTCTAGAAAAGGTCTGCCACATGACCAGTTTGTGGTCAGTATAAGATTTCTCATTTTAAAGGCTTCACGTAAGAAGGGAGCAGTTTTTTAATTAACATTGGACACTGACAAATTCATGTTTACTATAAAGTCATTTTAAATGGAAACCTGACTGTGTTGCTTTTTCTCGTTTAAATTTGGGGAGTTGTCAACACTGCTGTGGCACCACTCCCCTCATCGCACCTGCTCTGATCTGGTGGCCTGCTGCGTCCGTGCTTTTTTTTTTTTAAAGATTTTATTTATTCATTTTTTTCCCCCCAAAGCCCCAGTAGATAGTTGTATGTCATAGGTTCACATCCTTCCAGTTGCTGTACGTGGGACTCGGCCTCGCGTTGGACGGAGAAGTGGTGCCTCGGGGGAGCGCCCGGGATCCGAACCCAGGCCGCCAGCATCAGAGCGCGCGCGCTTAACCGCTAAGCCACGGAGCCGGCCCGCGTCCGTGCTTTTTATTTTCTGTTAACTGAAAGGATACCAGGTTCTAATCAGACGAACTTAAGACTCTTGACTTAATTGAATCAGGCTCTTCATGCTGCAAACATCATTTTCATTACTGTGAAATTAAAACACGCCATGGGAACACCACACGGAGCTCTGGTATTTAATATACTGTCAGGACGCCAGGATGTGTAAATCCCAAATCTATGCAGAGAACAGAAGATCATATGATGTGGAAATCCTAAGTATTCACTTTAAATTTCTTTGACTTGAATCCTCTCGTCAGTTACAGAGAACTCTTGGTATCCATCAGGTTTAATGTGGCTGAGTTCAGGGGTTCTGTTCTGTGTCCTTATTTAGGAATGAGTAATGCTGGTGTTGAGGGTCGTATGTTCCATTTAATGTGACGGTTTTAAAGGGTGTAAATTGGGAAGCAGAGTCCTTTGCAGAGTATGGCAGAAGACTCCATAACCTCATTCATTTCTAAATGTTTTTCTTTGATAAACTGCCTAAATTTGTGGTGTTTTTGTATGGTACTAACATGACGTGCTACCTGTTAATGTCTGATTTTGCAGTTCATGTTTAGCCTACTCTGAGTAAGAGTGACAGCATTTATATACCTGTCATTTTTAAGAACTAAAATTATTTGTAAAAAACTTCCGTTATGATTTTTAACAAATTAAAAATAGCACATGTACATGGTTAGACAATGTCGTGTGAAGAATGGTACAAAGTGAGAAGTCTGTGCCCACGCTGCTGCCACTGCCTTGTCCCAGAGGGAGCTGCTCTTCATTTGTTTAAGAAAAAAACATGGGCATTTACCAGCTCATAGTGATGTGTGTGTTGGCCTCGCAGTATCTATTTCTCCTTACTTTGGTAACTCAGATTTCCTACTGGTGAGCCACACCCTCTCTACTCCCACTTCTGTGCTTTGAGTGGGACATTCGCCCTGCAGGCCGTCCCCTTCCAGGCCCCCCTCTCCAGTGAAGGGCAAGAGGCCCAGGCGGAGCTAATCCTGGGTGAATTTGCTTGAGCCACCTCGGGAGGAAGTGGTTTTTGTTTCTCCTACAATTTGAACCTGGGGTATGTGCAGCTGGTGCTGCTGCAGCCATCTTGCCCTGTGCAGAGGAGAGCTGTCAGGAGGGAGCCGACACGGGCAGTGTGAGAAGCGAGGAGAGCCAGGTCCTGGTGGTACCATCTAGGCCCCTGAATCCAGCCAGGTCTGAGGCAAGCCTTGTCCCTCAGTGTTGCCAGGTTTTACCGAGGGCAGTTGGTGGTGTTTCTGTCATCTGTAGCCGTGATGGTCCAGCATAGAGCCACTTTCCTGACTGGATAATTGTTGTAACGAGGCAGAGGGGAGCATACCCCGTGCTCTGCCCTGTGCCTTATGTTTTTATGTGTCAGAATGTACACCTCCATCGCACTGCTTCCTGCACAGCCCTCTCAGCCCGTACTTACTGAATGTTACGTGCTAGTTCCTACTGGGTGCCAGGGACAGTGCAGATATAGCCCCTGCCACTGTGAAGCTTAACGGTTTGGTGGGGAAAGACAAATATGAGTCTCATACAGGGCCGGCCCCGTGGCTTAGTGGTTAGGTGCGCACGCTCTGCTGCTGGCGGCCCGGGTTCGGATCCCGGGCGCACACTGATGCACCGCTTCTCCGGCCATGCTGAGGCCGTATCCCACATACAGCAACTAGAAGGATGTGCAGCTATGACATACAACTATCTACTGGGGCTTTGGGGGAAAAAAATAAATAAAAATTAAAAAAAAAAAATGAGTCTCATACAAAGTAAAATGGCAACTGGTAGAAATATGAAGGAAGTCCACAGGCCAAGAGGTGGGGTGGAGGTGGGTGGAATCTCGGGATGGTCAGAGAGGACCTCTGTGAGGCAGGAGGAGGCGGGAGGAATGGAACCATCTAGGCAGAGGAAACAGTCCATGCAAAGGCCCTGTATTTAGAAGTAGCAGAGGAGGGACAGCCTATGTGCGGGCTGGAGAGGTAAGAGGTACATGGGGTCTTGTAGGAATTTGGGATGCCCTGAAGGATTTAGAGCTGTGGTGGGGTGGGCATGAGAAAATCCATTCTGCACTTTTTGCACTGAAGGATTGATTGGCGGGGCTCCGGTGGCCGTGAGAGGCAAGTTGGGAGTTGAGGAGTTAGGCCTTCGTTGAAGATGGCCCAGATTAGCAGGGCGGTTGTGGGGTTCGGCACAGTCTCTGCTGATGGGCATTCAAGTTTTCAGGGGTTTGCTAGTATATACAATGGTGAAATGGGCATTTTATATACATTAATACAAAATAATTACATTACAAAATATTTTGTAATATATCACATTGCAAAATATTTTGGTAAACTTTTGTTTATATCTGAAGGGAAAATTCCTAGCAGTGGAATTGCTAGAACACACCAAATTTAACATTTTGGTGTATACTGCCAAATTGCTCTCTCAAGTAGTTTCATTAACTTAACCTTTGCTAGCAATAGATCCCAGCTCCTTGCCAGTACTGGGCCTTACACTTGCCAGTTTAATAGATGTAAACACTGTATCTCCATTGGCTGCGCTGAAGCCACCATACTGGAGAAGACATGTACAGAAGCCTCATAGAGGTAGAGATACCCAGGCAGCACCAGCTGTCTGAGCAGGTGAGCCTTCAGATGCTTCCGGCCCCAGCCTTCAAGACGTCCCAGCTCTGAAGAGAACAGAGGAGCTGTCCAGAAAGGCCGTGCCCAGTCTGCAGATCCGTGAACAAGAAAAATGTTGAGTGTAAGGGAGATGGAGGGCATATGTACACGTACATATATAAATTTACTTTTACTTTTTTCTGTTGGTTTGATGATTCTTGGTCTAATACATTTGCATGCTGCCTTTTGACCCTCAGCCATGAAACGTGAGAAGTTAATCAGATAAACACCCTTCCACTTCCTTTCATCCTCGTGCCCTCTAGTTTTTGATGGCTGTCCTGTGGTTTTTAGTACTTCTGATGGTTGCCTTTACAATGTTAAACCTCTTTTTCTTTTTTAATAAACCAATTTAGATAGTGTGTATCAACCTCTAGTCAAGGGGAGAATTCAGGAACTTCCTGCTGTGTCCCCGATTCTTGTTTTAACAGGGTTGTTTGTACACTGACACCATGCAGTGTATCTCCTCCTCCACTGGGGCTCTGAGACTGGCATCATCTCTCCCCCTAAAGTGACTGCTTTGCTCTCTGAGTGCCTGGGGAGCCGTCCTCATTCCCAACGTTTAGTAATTTTGCTAGGAGAAGTCTTAGTGTTGATTTTTTGGGGTCATTTTTGCTATGCTCCGAGAACATGGGGGGTCATTTCCAATTACAGATTCAGGTTTTTTTCCCATCATTTTGGAAAAATTTATATTCTATTGTTAGCTTAATTTTAGTTTTATGTTGGTGTTTTCGGCATCAGTTTTTTCTTAGCTCTGAAATGAGTTTTTTTTTTTTAATCTCATTCCATTTTTAAGCTACTGAGCTGTTTTTATTAAGTTCCATGAACTCAAAAAGTCCAAAAGGAGAATCTCCACCTTGGTTTATAATTTTTTCCCAGAACAGAATAGCTACCTGTATTTGTATGTGTATTCTTTTGTTGTTGTTTACTGATTGCAGAAGGTTCGGCTGGATGCCGCATCTTTGTCTTTCTCGATCGTGTTTATGCTGAGCAGACACGCTTTCCCCCGACTGTGGCCACAGCATCTGTTTTGGGTGCTCTCGCCCGACCCCTCTGTCCTTGTCTGAGGTTGTGTTTCCCTGGAGCTGTGATTCAAGGCTGAGTGTTGCTGTCCCTCAGCCTTTCTAAAACTGAGCAGGACAGGGAGGGGCTCAGGAAGGCTGCGTGTGGCCTGGCCTAACAGGTGCGCTCTGCCCTCCTGTGGTTTTCCCAAGTGTCATAGACTAGGCTTCTCTTCCCCCGTTGTTCCTTGGAGGTTCCTCCAGTTAGCAGTGGACCTTGGGCCCTTGCTCCCCTCAGGGAGGTCGGGCTGCCGTGTTCTTTACTTCACTTATCTCCCTCCAATAACTGTTTTCCTTCCGCCCCCAGCAGGAGGAGGAAAGGCCATGCAACATGCGGCTTTAACCCGGGCAGGTCTAGGGCGTGGAGAGTGGGCCCTTGCTGCAGGCGCATGGTGTGAGGGGGGCCACAAAACTCAGTCATCAAGAAGCCATATTTCACGCTGTACAGCCGTCCCTCAGTGTCTGTGGGAGATTGGTTCCAGGACCTCGGCAGATATCAAAATTCTCCAGTGCTCAAGTCCCTCAGTCGGCCCTTTGTGTCCACGAGTCCCACATCCGAGGACATGGAGGGCTGACTGTATCTAAAAAATCAAGTTAATGTTAAAAACACTACCAAACAGAAGATGTAAATGTTCAAGACAGGCTCGGGCAGGGAGGGGGTTAAGGTGAGGCCTAACCTCACAGCAGTGAGGCCAAGCTGTGCCAGAGTCTGGGGAACCTACTGTTTTAGACCCACAGTCTTTAGTATTTCTTCTT